TTCTGCCTAAGGAATGCCCATAAGAATCAATGTTTCGGTTCTGGAAGATGAATCTGTCATCAGGATACTTTCAGGATGGGAAAGCGGAATTGGTCCCAGGGGAAGAGACTGAAAAGTGTGCAATGCAACTTGCTGTTTTTCTATCGGTTTAGTTGAGTTCTTCCCTTTTCTCGTTTAGCCGCTTGGTGGTTGTTTAGTTGTGGCTGTCTTTTCTAGCTATGGACAAACCCTGGTAGCGCTGTCTTTGGGATTTGTATATTCCCAGCTTTGTTGCGTCTGGTGCCTCCTAAATAATCTTGCAGAGGTGGTTCTTGTTTGAATTCCTGGAAATAGTCTGGGCTGTTATTAGCTTTCTTGGGGACGTTAGGAGCCGTCGAGTTTTGACTTGCATTAGGATTTTAGTTGAACTTTCTTTTCCTTCTTCTACTTCTTATCTCCTAGGCCTCTTAGCGATAATACCGTGACGTCGCAGCGTCCGCTGTTCTTGCAAGTTGTCTTCACTTCCATACACATAAATCGTTTTGTGTGGTCACCTCAGCTTCAACGACGTTCTTGATCGTGTCACGTCTCCTCTTCTTCGGAGCTTATCATGATCCTTTCCCTTGATCATCGAACTTCATCGCTCCCTTCATCGGATGATTCTGTGGCTTTCTAGAATACTAGATAGACAGTATGGCTAAACTAAGCGAGTGAAAGTGAAAAGGTCGTCTAGATCCAAACCGTCTGAGTAAGTAATAAGTCCACTTCATGGCCTGGATGGATAGACTCTTGGCTGTTGGTTACTGTTGAGGTGAAATGGTAATGTTCACAGAACAGGAGAACTTCGCTGTACTTATGTATGCGGGGTAGGTGAGCTTTTGCTCCCGCTAAAGAACTCTGAATTTCTTCTAAAAATTAGATTCAAATGTTGAGAGTGATAGTCTAGGCTAGTTCGTGAGGGATCACGCACGGTTTAGGAGCATAAAAAGACAAAGTAAAGTCCTCTGACGTTAATCGGTCCTTCTTCTGGGCCGCGTCCCGCACTTGAATTCCATTCACAATCGTATTGGCGTTTTGTTGCATATATGACCTATGCATGGAATTGCAGTAGCCACCGATGTACAAGTCAGTGCTGTAAACATTTTAGACGAATCTGATATCATTTACTCGACCCCAGAGGGATGATAGGCCTAGATCGCGGCGATAATTCGGGGATCAATCCTCAGGCATACGTCTACGATTGTGCACCCCTCAACACAACACAGCCTCCACTCTCGGTATATCGGCATGTAAGATTGATTGAGCATTTAAAATAACAAAAAATCGAGTTCATCTGGTATATAGGTATGTAAAATAAATTGGGTATGTTAAATAACGAAAAATCGACTTTCTTCTGGATATATGGGTATGTAAAATAGACTGTGTATGTGAAATAACAAAAAAGTTTTTAGTGCTCCGAAAATTTTGCTTTTCCAAGAAAGTGTGGGCAGAATTCGGTGCAGATAATCCGTGGTCCTCGCAAGCCTCCATTCGTTAAAAATATACTTTTGGAGTACATGTTGGCCTATATTTATGTTATATTTATAGCCTATATTTATATTTATATTATATATTATTTGTATATTAGCAAGTTTTCCAGTGATTTATATTAATTTTACATATTATTATTTTATCCTATGTTTATTTTGTTATGTATTTTTATTTTATTTTATATATTTATGTTCAATCTCTGGATTGACCTTTTTCATGTCCTTTACACCTCTTATTCTTGTTTCAATCAATTCCTCATTTTTTCTTACCACCCCTTTCTTTTTTTTTTTCGTCGCTTCACTCTGTACCATTGCTAACGAAAAAGAGCTAGTTAAAAACCTATTACAACCGAAAATACACAGCTATGAGATGTGTAAAGTGAAAGAGCGAAGAAATGATCTATGCAGAGTGATGACAGTAATGTAGCATGAGGGCTACGTATTTATGAAGATTCGCTCTGACTCGAAACCCGTTTTATGTTTTTTCTGTTGAAAATTCCCTTCGAATCTTACTTAAGTTATTAAGTTATTTCTAATACTCTTGTATGCGCCATGCACTCGTTTTCTAATTGGTTATGCGTTCGCTGGTGTGTGAATGTTGGTCTTGCTCAGCGATATTAGAAAAGATGTTGGGAAATAACTTGACTCCTTAAAACTTTCCACTATTCTGGAAGGCGGGGAATTTCCCTAAAGATTTTCCTTTAGTGTATAAACACGGGCTTAAGAAGTTTCAAGTCTTTGTTTACACTTTTTGAAAAATTTTAAATCTTCCATGAAGCATACCTTGCAAACACAGGCAGTCAGTCTAGTCATGGTAGCCCAATTCTAACATTAGGTCCGCTCNTGGTAATGCAAGTTAATCCAGACTGTCAAATGGACTGCAAATGCCTGTTGCCCAACATCTCAAAAAAGTTGAGGGAAACGTCCTGTTTTTCAGTTGGCTATCGATTTTCGCGTGATTTTTTCCTGTCACTTTGCAGGCGATAATTCAGTTTACAAAAAAAAAGAGTCAGGAAAGATACGAGCTGTTTGGATATTCACTAGAGCCGCTCTCGTCCTAATTCAATCTTCTCCGTTTTCCTGGAAGTCGGCCTAAGTAGGTAGCGATGAAGTAGCGACTGGAAACGGCAAACGACTGGCTTGGCGGTAGGATAATCGCTCATCAAATTTGTTGGGCTTGAAATCGAATCTGAATAGGTTGCTGGAGGAGCCTTTATTTTGCCTTGGCCCATTTCTCTCCTGAAGATTTTCTCCCAGGTGGTCCAAAATGTTTAGGAGGACCCTGCATGGGCGGGGCCCTCGTCACCTCGGCGCACCTTCGATGCACGTACTCACCCTTTCGTTTGCATTCCTTCAACTCAACGATTTTTCTTTTTCTTCGAAATAAATCTTGAGTTTTCAGTATTCAACCAATGCCTCTGCGATTATTGCCTTCTACGGAATGTACTTGTTAGTGCTCCATTTGTTTACCGTACTGCTACTGGTACGGCGGTCTCTTACGGAAGAATGTGCGATCTCACATACGACTCGTAGCTACCTGAATGAGACGTTTTCTGCCAGCAAAGTTCTAGTATCCGGTACGGTAGAGAAAATTAGTCTAGTCTCGGATACGGACAATGTCGTACAAGTGAGTTTGTTCAGTATAGGACTTTAGGTCCGGTTTAGTGTGCAAGATAAGACAACGATCCGTTTTTCAGCATTTGCAAGTACGAATTAGAAGGGTGTTTAAAGGAAAGGAGCACCTTAGGTCCAGATCTTCAATTGAGGTGGTTGTGCCGTCAAGTTTTAAGGTGAGGAGTTAGAAGATCTGAAACCAACCAGCTGTTTGAAGCTGGACCAGGGCCAAATAAGGCTTTATACAAGATTCTTTTCAGTTTTGTATCTCAGTACTACTTGTGCATGACACCCGAGTGTTCCCGTTATCTACCGATGGGCAGAAGTTCATACTTTCCTCTCCTGTGCTGCCCATCAATCTCAGCGTCTTAGACTCACTGCACTCATTCATTTTGAGTGAGTGCTTTAACGATTTTTCAAGTATTTTTTCTTCGAAATCCGAGCATAGTCAGCCCACGAGAAAAAGGTTTCGATAGGGCACCCACCTGGACAGCAGCTGGCATATTTCTCTTTTCATTCACTCGTTTGCTCGTTCGCTTGTTCTGCTCATTGTCGCCTCTTACCAATTACCTGAGCCTAATTACTGCAAGTCCCAACCAGGACCAGTCTGACTTTCATGTCAATAACGATAAAAAGGGTCACTTTGGGTGCAACGATAGGCATATGCTAGGTGGAATCGGTGATTCCCAAGTAATCCTTCTAAGGAGGTCTTGATACCCGGGTGTTTAAAAGTCGCTGAACCTTTTTTCGGGGATTAGTGGAAGGATGATAGAATGAGGTGGTGGGGGTCGTACCGCAGATGTCCATTGATTATGTAATTTATTGTTGTCCCAAGGTATTATTACAATATGTTTCTCTATAGGTAAATAGATCTTTGGAATTGGGAGTTGTGGAAATATTCCCAACAGGGTACTGTATTAAACGGAACTTCGTCCTTGGAGAAAAACCTGTCTTTTTAATGTAACAAAAAGTATAAATGCTTGTAAATTCTGCTACCTAGTCAGCTTTAGGCCCTTTATTTGAGATATTCACTCTATACTATTTCGGGTGAATGTTAAATTTTTCGAAGGGGTTGACTGTTAAGAGGTTGAGGCAGAGGTAGAAGTAGGGTTGTGATAAGTACTGTCATGGTTCGTGAGGAATCCGTGAATTTATTCCCACTTAAGCGGATCAAGCCTGCTATTCCTCAATAGTCGGTCTGATGGAACCGGCCCCGTTTGGAAAGATGAAAACCACGGCATTTGTACCTTCCAAAGCAAACCCCTTGAAAAAACCGAAATATGTTGTGTAGACAAAATGCACGCCGAATGGTGTAACGATTCAAAGGGAATCCTAAAACTGCGACAAAATTTAAAAGAAAAAAATAAAGGGGCCGGAAAGCCTCATCCTCAGTCCTCGCTCCTATTTCCTAAAAAAATTCCCATGATTTTTTTGGAACCAATTGCTATTTATAGATGATTAATATGTTTAAGCTAATTAATATAATGAATATTCGTTTGTTTTAGGAAAACCTCACAAAAAACGAAAGAAAGCCAAGAAAAGTAAGTTGTTTCATAATTATTCGTGTAAAAAAAGAAAATGTGGACGGATTGGTGCTTCAACTTGATGCTATTGAATAGTTCCCATCTTCCCATCTCCTTTTTGGGAAGTTTCTGATTTTCAGATAATCTAGGCTAGATAGGGCGGCCATCATAACTTATTTAGGCTGGTCATTGTTGTACCTCTGATAGAGTCAAGCTCGTAAAACAACTACGAATGGTCATGTAGTAAGGTTATCCATAATGATGGGAGGGAAGGCGAAAAAGGCTTCGCAAGTCCTCGAACTACGAGATATTCCTCCAAAAACAACTAAGTACAATTTCCCTGCATAAGAAATAATTGTGCCAAGAAGAAAGATCTTTTAAAGAGGATTTTTCCTTCTCATGTGTCTTAGTTTCAGACCATTGTGAATCTCACCTCTGCCCTCTTGGATCGAAATGCGTCTTTTCAACGTAAGTCAGGCATCACTTTTGGATTATTTTTGGATGATTTCAAAGACTGTTTTTTCCCGATGTTTCACATTATCAGGTCACACTTATAATCTTATCAAAATCGGAGCAGGTGGCTTTCTCTAAGAAAGAACTAGCAGAATCAAAAATGAGTACTTTTTCCCCATGTTTAGTTGGTACTTTCGGGGACCTTGACATCGCTTAGGTTTCTTCACAGCTCGGTCAGCCCGACCACCTATTTCCTCTGAGCTTTGCGATTCAGAGTAATATTCAAGTAGTGAGACTCTTTCGTCTGACCTTCGGAACTTGAGGTTAAGCTCTTCCCGCACTTCCGTTTCCCATGCCTTTGCTGCCGATGCCGCTCTACCCACTCGTCACTTTGCTCTCCGTGTAATTCCCCGCTAAGATTTTCTCACGGCACATGTAATCCTTTCTAAGAGTGACTATGTGGTAGATTCCTTTCATAGTTGAACTACTCCGAAATGAGCGGCTTAGTCCAGTTCAAAGCGGTCTTGGTCAGAATCGTTCAAGGTTATATTCCTAAGAAGTCCCCATAGCGGTTAATCATACGACAACTTTATAATGAACCGGACTTTTTTAAAAAACAACATGTTATTAGTCAATACGTTGTTGAATAGTAACAATAGGATCTTCATTGCCTTCGTTTTGTCCCAAAGTTGGCTTGAGAGCAGAGACCTCTAATAAGTTTAAGGAGAGGGATGCATAGTTTCAAAGAGAGAATGCCGTAAATTAAAAGTTCTGATTGACGTAAGTTCCAGAATTGAGTGGAGTCGGAGGGAAGGGAGGAAGATAAGAGCGAATCGAGAGGTCCTTGGCAACTTTTCAGATTGAACAGAATATTTTTACAGAGGAGAATGCGAATGTCGTTCATATTGTCGTTCAACTGGACCGGCTGTATGTGGCTCAGATCGGGTCTCCTATGCTTCCGCTTGTCATCTATTCGTCAGAGCGTGCCTGCTTGCCAAAAAAGGANTTTCACTTCGTATGGTCAGCCATGAAGCTTGTAGTGAGTTATTAAATTGTCTTGTGTAATCTGCTATTATCATAAGTCCTACAACCAGTCTGTAAACCAGCTTCCAGATCTGGGGATTCCCTCAGTGTTCAGACCCAGGAGGTGCTGGTATTGATGCTAAAAGATAGGTCAAAGTTTTGTGAATGAGTAGCGAAGCCCCTGCCCTATCCGTTTTTTTTATGTAGAAGTGTATTCTCGAGAATGTTGGAGTGCCCTTCCCTCCTATGCTGTTTTTAACCTTTTCAGGAAGAAATCCGTACTAAGTTCACAGTGGTAGGCTTTTCAAACTGCTGAACTCTGTTCCTACCTACCTACCTACCTGCCTACCTACCTACCTATCAAATGCATTCTAAAAGCGAGACGCGCGATAGGTGCATGGCGCAGCCGAAATCGACTGGGATTGTAGTCCTTCCTCCTCTATCGATTATTCGTTCTTTGAAACAGACCGCTTGGATCCTTGAGGTGGTGGATTGCCTTGGAAATCTCTTAATTATCTTGTATATGAATTAAATTAAAGGGATAGGGAGTTTGTTGGAATAATGGGAGACCCGGGCGGTTCTTAATAGTTGCAAAACGTCGACACAGCGTGGGACGTGGAACGGCACGGCCTCAGTGCATTTGTGTGGCGGTCGATTTGCTCATGAGCTTATCTTTTCACTGACCGTGTTATGAGCACAACAAACACTACACGCCACATTCATCGTCGGGCCGTTCCACTGTGCCACCTGGGATTGCTTCCTGTTGTCCAAATGTGGGAATGAGCGATAGCGATATGCGAGGGTAAAGAGGGATTTTCTTCGGATGCACATAAGTAAAGCGAAAAGGCGTGAACAGCCTTATCCGGTTGAGAGGCTCCTCATTAAATTCGCCGCCACCATCACCACCACCACCACAAGCACTCATTCGGCAGTTGCTGCTTGCTCTGCAATGAAATTAGGCGGAAAACCTACGGTCGACAGCAAAATATGCGTCTGCTGACAGCGTTGCTTCTTCTCTGCCATTTGGCTAAGGCTTGCTATCGTTATCCCAAAGGTATCAGTGACCTGAACTGCTTCTGAAAACTGATTTATAGAGAGGTTTTTCAGGAAAGAGAAATCCCTGCGAGGATTTGCGCTGTGGACCAGGAGAGGACTGTGTTGTCTCTCAGGTAATTTGCGATATCGCCTGAATCCTATTTTCGGTTCTTTTTATTTTTCGATCGTCTTATATGTGAGAGTGGAGAAAAATGGAGTTATCGTGAAGTTATTTTTCAGAAAGATGGCGTACTATCAGCTAAGTGCGTGTGCCCAAGTACCTGTCCATCTTACGGTGATTCAGGTAGGTAGTTCCACTTGCGTGCCTGATCTCAATGTAATAATAGTTTAACTTCACGAGTTTCTCGAAAAGTCATTGTTTTGAAGAGGGCGTGGGTTAGTGCAAAGTGGTGCCGCTACAGCACGTATGGTCCAAGGATCAAATTTCACGCCTGCCTAAGTTAACGAAGATCAAGCTCTACGTTTTCTTAGAACGGTTGATTGTTAGCATACCCCTCTAGGGATGAGTCATTTTGTGGAGCATGAAGTGGGTGCTGAGTCTTAGCAATCAAAATTATCCGGACTTCAACACTTAATAAGTTGACAGTCAACCTTTGTACCCTTCTAAATCAATCTAATCGTATCCTAAGAATTTGAAAGGTCAGTTGGGTGCTAAAAAGTTTTTTTAGACCAAATGTTCATGCGTGTTATTCATAGTCCGTATTATCAAGACTATTGCCAATAGTGAGCCCTAGTGGAGTGCATGGCGCATTCCAACCCATGGGAAAAAAAGCAATACATATGGTCCTGTCTTTTGCCTCAAGTCAGCATTGTTGAATAGATTAACTTCCAAGGGAATAGGAACAAGTAATTGAATGGGGGAGCCACGAATTGCAGGCAAACTGCACTTTCACTTCGTTGCAAACTAATTGGATTGAAATGCTATTAAAGTTGCCCACATCGACTTGCTTTCTCATTGGAAAGAGGCTCCTGATTTCGAGGGAAGGGAAACCTATTCAGATGATCTACTCCATTTCGTCAGTACTGTATAATACCCATTTTCTTTCAGTTGTATCGTCTCCTGTATGTTCTTCGCAAGGTATCGACTATCCTTCACTATGTCATCTCAAGCAACATGCCTGTCATACTCAGACCAACATTACTGTCAGATACTTCGGCGAATGTGGTCCGTTCCATTTAATGGTTGACGTTTTATTAATTGAACAATTAAAGCAAAAAAATAATGATCAGAAATCAATCAAGAAGAATTAATAGAATTTATTTTGCTAAATAATAGTTCTAAGGCTCATTTATCACTTGATANACTTGCTTTCCCGAAGGAAGGAAGCTTCTGAAACTGAGGGGCAAGGGAATCCTATTTATATGATCTACTCCATCCAGTCAGTACTATACAAGACCCATTTACTTTCAGTTGTATCGTCTCCTGTATGCTCTTCGCAAGGTATCGACTATCCTTCACTATGTCATCTCAAGCAACATGCCTGTCATACTCAGACCAACATTACTGTCAGATACTTCGGCGAATGTGGTCCGTTCCATTTAATGGTTGACGTTTTATTAATTGAACAATTAAAGCAAAAAAACAATAATCAGAAATCAATCAAGAAGAATTAATAGAATTTATTTTGCTAAATAATAGTTCTAAGGCTCATTTATCACTTGATAGAGACGTCAGGGTGCTCTTTCTAGTTCCAATTACTAGTTATTTGGTCTTATGTCCTGAAATTTGGTAGCTGCGTGGACTCGATATTAATTCCTGTGAATCCTTGAGGGCGTCCTATTTTCCCTACTGTCGAACAGTCTGCATTCGAGCTTACCAATTGTTTTTAAAGGATTCTGTGAAACTATTCGTCAAGGTACATTGTCGTGACATACTCATACATACTTTGCCGTTTTAGATCCATGTGCTAATGTGGAGTGTGCTCGTGGAACGAGATGTAAGCTGAACTCGTTAAGAAAACCCGAATGTCGATGTAGTGAACAGTGTGCTCTTCATTTTGAGCCAGTCTGTGCTGATAATGGGTTGACGTGAGCGCTTTCAGCAAATTGTTCTTTTTTTACCTTTCTCCATAGGTCATCTGCCAATAAGTAAGTGAATAAGAACCACACCCACAACCACTTCTTCGCATTTTTCCCTCACAACGGAAGCTGGGAGTCTCGCTTCTTCCTAACCCTTCAGAAAGGAGAAATGCGTCGACCTTGGAGGGTCTTCGTTGTTATTTTGCTTTGATTCACTCGAATCATTTGATTTCTTCTAGGTACACCAATGAATGTGTGATGAACGTTGCCGCTTGCAAAGAAGATAATCAGCTGTCTGTCTACAAAAAGGGGAAATGCTCAGGTACTACCGAACCTAAACTGTCTTGTCGGATCCCAGAGGACCATTAACGATTGCAGATTTCCATAATCCTTGTGATGATCTTGAATGTTCTCGTGGAGCTCGTTGTCATATCCTGAAGAACGGTACAGCCAGTTGTGTCTGTCCACAGAAATGTGCCCAAGCACTTACTCCTGTCTGCGGAACGGTAAGTAATTACAGACAGTTAGGATCTGAGTATAGTTAGAGCTATCTCATGTTATCGGTAACAAGTCTTGGTGAGGTATTTGTGTTAGTACTCTTTCAAAAGTTACCGTATTACTACAAAGTTATGATGACACTTTCATGTAAACTGAGAAGTTGTTCGAGTTTTGAATATAGCAACGTCCCTCCTGTACTCCCCAGCGTACTGTAACCTGTGGCTCTTGTAGGAATGATTTATTGAATGGGGACTTTAGCCTCGTCCATATGAAGGAGAAAGTTTGTGCTTACATCAAAAAGTTTCTCAACTATGACCAATTCCAGCACAGAGAGTAAAAATGTAATCAATTTTCAGGACGGAATCACCTACGATAACGAGTGTGAAGTTCATCGCCATGCTTGTATGGAACAGGCTCACATAGCCGTACGTCATCAAGGACCATGCGGTAAGTTGGAATCCTATCACTGCCGTCAGCGTTGGGCAGCTCGTCGAGGAAAATGATTTCGTCAATACGGCATCCGTGAATTCTCTTCCAAGATAAGAACGTTGCACCCGTTCATCGTTCAAGTAAAAGAGTCAATTGGAAGTTGGAAAGCGAAAAAGCGCTTAAACCCGAAAAAGCGTTTAAACCAACCCAGACAAAAAAGTTCCTGGCGACCACTCTATCCCTTTTGCAAATACGACTTGCTTCCATTGCCGCTGTTTCTTCGGCGATAGCTTACCCCTGATTGCTGAGTGCATTGAAAGACTCGACAAGGGGTTCTTTGAATGAATAATGAGGGTCTGGCATGATGTCTAGATCACTAGTGAATTAGGAAGACTGACTTTTTTCGTAGAAACTAATTGATCCGAACAGGAATATGCCATTTTCACTCGTGACGAGAGTTCTTATTCTAGGAGAAGGTCTGTGTGCTTCCTTCACATGTAAGTCGCCACTGGCTTGTGTAGTAGTCGACGACAAACCATCCTGTGTGTGTCCCCAATGCACGGACGAACTCCGAGAGGTAATTTGGTTTGGGTTCTTCTCATTGGTAAATTTCAGAGGTGTAGTTGCTTCGATCTCAAACGCAAGGTAACCTAAGGAGCTGTAGTTCAGTTATAAAGGTTTATTAGCAATCCAGGTCAAATGACTGAATGACTTCATCTGGAAGTGGGGTGATATAGAGGGAAGGGCCGTCATTATCAGCATCGACGATTCTAAGATCGAACAATACTGAAGCAAATCGAGCCCTCTGCGCCGGTTTCAGATATGAACCTCTGGCTTGAAGTACTGATTGAAAGTCGGCTACTTTGTTATTATTGAACCAAGTTTCCATGCATGACCAAGTACTGGTCTAGGCTGCCATGTACTATTCGTAGAATAAGCCAGGTGTTTGAAATACTTCAAAAATGGTTCATTAACACGAATAAGGCTTTCTTCGACAACATCTTCGATTATGCCGATTGTGACAAATGGCAATACGGTGCTTCACCAGGTGAGGAATACTCATTCCGAGTCCTTGTAGAATCCAGCTGCCACTGGAAGGGTTTGCACAGCTCTTACAAAGCCTCCTGCGATCAGGAGTCATCGGTACCAATAATACTGATTCCATTTTCAGCCATAATTGTTGAGAAATCAGCTAAACCTAGGCGCTACCTATGGACCATGCTGAGGAATGTTCTTGTCTTCCTCTTTTATGAACTCTACTTTAGGTCTGCGCCAGTGATGGCCGCACTTACCCAAACGAGTGTAAAATGCGTAAAGCAGCGTGTGATAGCGGAACGACACTTTTCGTGAAGTACAATGGAATTTGTGGTACGTACAGAAGTTATACGGTCGTCGTTGAACGTTCTCAACTGGCAATGACATTTCAGAAGGGTGTGCCAAGAAAAACTGTCAGTACTACTCCACTTGTATCGTAGAGAATGGCAAAGCAGAATGTCGCTGTCCCACTGAGTGTAACAGGAATGCATCATCCGTAAGATTTTTTCGAGTTCTTCATCGGTAAATCAGAAGTTCAGGTAAAGGGAACGCATAGAGATGTGGCGACGGGACTAGGTGAGTCCTCGTCCCTTTTCATGGGTACGTTGTCAAGCTCAGGTTAGCCTAGCAACAATCTACCCAGAGTAGTGAGCTAAAGTACTCGCCCAGCTAAGCGTTGTTCTGCTGGCACGCTATGTGCCCGATTTTTCAGATGCCTTACCGGATGGATTCTACTCTGCTTTCAGGCTAAATCAACTCCAGTTTGCGGTACGGACGGTGTGACATATTCGTCAGAATGTCACCTGAGGAAGAGTGCCTGTCAGCAGAAGAAGTTCATCGTAGTGGCTTTTGAAGGAAAATGCGGTGAGGGCGATTCTGGTTTGGTTTTTCTTGTCCGACAGCATCTTCAGAATTCTCCCTCCTGAAGTATCTCCGTTCTGCTACGAAACACCAGCGTCATCTGTTGTGATGACTGTCTTCTATTCTTGACGCTTCCCTTTCAGATGCATGCATTCACGTCGAATGCGGCTTTGGTCAGGAATGTCGTGGTGGAAAATGCATCTGCTCCTACCAATGCCCTTCATCACCCCCACAATCTGCACGTGTCTGTGGAGAAGACGGTGTTTTGTATGCTTCGGATTGTCATCGGCAGTTAGCCGCTTGCCAGAAAGGCTCTCCAATTCCAGTCATGCCTCTCACCCACTGTCACTCCGCTATGGCAGCTGCTGGAGGTCAGTTTTGATGGACTTTCTTGTTCTGGTGACATCTACAACTTCCTTCAATACCAGTATCGGCATCGAACCCGAAACTGAGATGGCGGGAAGGTGTTCCAGCACAAGGGAGGGAAGAGTAGGTTGCAGCATGCAGCACTGCTTTGTTACCTCAGCGTTTTCTCAGTAGTAAGCCATGGTCACAGGGGAGAAAAGGGAATCAAAAAGAATCAAAATACTATTAGGCTGTCGGCTTAGATTCGAAAATTTCCCTCTAACACGGCAATTTGGCCTAGTTAACAGGATGGGCTTATCATATTATGCTCTCAATCCGACTGGTCCTTTTTCTAGTCTAGTCTGTTTCAGACGCATGTCATTGCCACAGCCTCGGATCGTTCGGCCCTCATTGTGACAAGAACGGTAACTGCAGGTGGGCCTCTTCGCAGTCTTTTTTTCGTTCTCCAAGTTCTCCAAGAATTTCTACCGATGGATCGGAGCCACTTACTCCCTTAGTAGTGGATGCAAATTGGAAGCTAACATTTGGTACTTCCTCTGCTCTTTCTAAGCTTTCGGTGGTACTGAATTCGTAGAATTCGGAGGCAGGAACTGTAGAATCTACCAAAGAAGTCTTCTTCCGGTGCTAGAAGAGGACTAGGAATAATCACTGATCGAATAGAGGCATCTGCTTAATCAATGATTAAATTTGCGAAAGCTGTGAGTGAGAGGATCACGGTATTTGTACGGTAAACCTAGAAAAAATCGCCCTGAGAATGACAACGTTATTTGCCGTTCTATTCATTCCTTTCCTTTCCTGTTCATTGTATGACCCCATAGCTTGTTATACTGAGGCATTGAGCGATAAAGGACTGTCCAACTATTGTTATGGATAGCTTATACTATGTTTCATTCGTAACAATGATTGGCGCTACAACAAATAGCTTCTTATTAGGGATACGAATTTCAATTTCAGATGCCGAGCAGGTGTTGGTGGATCGAAATGTGATCACTGTCTACCGGGATTTTGGGGCCTGCACCTTATTGCGATCGGTGCACAGTCATGCAAACGTTAGTTGCATTTTCTTTCAGCGTCATTTTTTACGTCAAAGGCAGTCCAGTCATGTTAGAGTGGTATACTCTGAGGGCTTACTTTTCAATGAGTATAAACCAACTATTTGAGAGTAGTTCAGAATTTGAGGCGAAGGTTGTTCAAACTTATGTGGTACCTGTCTTACAATTTGTTCTGTTAGTATTTGTTTAACTTATCCGGCGTAAGTATGAAGGGACGTAGATAAATAAAATAACTAAGCAAATAACAGCAACAAGCCATTTTAAGCATGCGGCTGTTCGGTGTTCGGCTCTTCTCGTCCTGATTGTGAGCAGTCCACTGGCAGATGTGAATGTTCTCGTGGTGCACGTGGAAAAACCTGCGATCGATGTGACGACGATTTAGTTATGACTTCTTCGGGATGTGTTGAGAGGGAGGAGTTCCGAGCGCCCAGGTAGGCATACTGATTTGCGTTCAGATACCGGCGTGATATGAGAGATTTAAGATATCGACTTCTGGGTCTATTGGGATTCAAACCAGGTGTCACTGATGAAGGGGCTATGGGGCTACCTGTCTTCATAGTGAGTGTGAATAGGTGGTGAAGTTGAAGTCAGTGGACTACCATTGAGAAAACATCAAAAGTCTCTGCACGGTGTCATTCAGTATCCCGTTTGATTGAGGGGAAAAGTCCTTGAAGGGCCGTTCAACGTAATCAAAGTTTCTTGGGCACACCTTTCTTTTCCCCCGGGAAATATCAGAAGGGGGGGATGCCTAGGAATTTCAGCTCTGAATCAAATTTGTGACGAAAGACTGCTCACAATTTTCGAAATTACTGATTCGAAGACCTATCAATTTTCAGTCACAAAATCCAAAAATGTTCGGCCTTCTGTCAATCGAGCCAGTTTTTACCACTGCTACCTTCTCAATCTAATGCATTCCACTATACTGTGCATAGCGGCGTGGCTTGGGATCAGTTTACCAAGATAAAATTGCATCCTACTCCTTTTCGAACACTTTGCTAGGCTTCCGTTCGCTAAGTGGCGACTCTAACCAAAAATAGGAACGATACCTCTTGTGTTCACAGAGGAAAGTAAGTCACTAATACGATCTGTCGTTATTACGGGCATAGACAATGTAATTCTTACCTACTCGGGCTTTCTGTGTTTTACTGTAAGGCAAATGAGGAAGCAATTCGAATGAAACTTGTATTTGAAAGAAGAAAGTGTTTATACTCGAAATAAGAGATATTTTCAGGAGCTGTGCAACATTGGAATGTCATCACGAAGCCAAATGTGTAGAATCTCAAAGTGGACACCCTCATTGTGTGTGTCCATCACACTGCGATATCGGACATCTTGGTATAGGTAACTTTTACTTTTACTTGAAAATATTTTTCGAAAGTAATTTTAAAAATTGTGGCAGCTCCATAGTTCTATTTGATGATCTCCCATGTATGTAGTGGACTTGGGGTACGGTATCATACGGTCTCGGCTCTACAGTACGGTAGTGCTACGTAGCCTAGTTCTGTGTAATGTAACTTCTGAGGGGAATCAGCAACGTATGTCATCGGCAATATTTTTATGAGCAGAGACGTATTCGTTATGAAGGGACAAAAGTCGTTTTGAGAACGAATAGGAGTTGGTCCAAGGTTCCAAGAGCTGGAGGGAAGAGATTAGTTGCGCACGTCCGAACTGTCCGTCTCTCTTGTAAATTCTATGAGATGGAAATACGATGTGAACTATACAGTAGAAATGTCCCTGTTAAACGTCCCGAGGGGAGAATGATAAGGATCGGAAATCTTTTTTTAGCCTTTCATGGGTTTTTCCTTATATGAGTTCAGTGAAATCCGAATGGAAGTCGATTGCGTTGACGCATCCCTGAGACAGGATTGATTAACGCCCCGAGATTCTATCCTTCATCCTTTATGAGTTCAGTGGGACGTTTCAGTTGCCAACATGAGTGTTTGTGGTTCGGACGGTACGACTTATGAGAATTTGTGTCAACTTACTCAGTTCGCATGTAAACACCAACTCGATCTGGTGGCGGTCTCGCTTGGAATCTGTTCTGACGGTGGGTCACAAGGCTTTTTACGCAGAATTTCTCACTGAAGTTCCTACGTTACTGGTTCAGATTCATCAGAACCTCGTGAAAGAAATAATCGAGACAAGGACATGTCTGAACTGCACCATCTACCTTCCTGCAAGACTTCTAGCGACTGCAAGGCGGTAATACTTTCTAAATGAGTATCTATGAGTTTAAATGACCCAATACTCTAGAAAGTTTATTCCAGGTAGGCGCTATATGTGTGACAAGTGGAGCCGATTCAGGAAAATGCAAGTGCCCCGAGGGAAAGCTGTTTGTCAGAGGGCGTTGTAGAGCAGGTACTTTTCATTCTGCTTATGTAAAAATCATTTTAGAAAATTTTAGAGAGAATATCCCCAGGCCGTGGTGTGGTACCATTACTCCTACTTTTCTCCTAATAAAAAAAAGAATGTACCATAACTAGAATGCCTCGGCACATTTGTACGGCGCCTCTGCAACCGCAGTAGTTTGGGAAATAGGGAACTCCGTGCAATCTGCTGCTGGGAAACCGGCTCGTTTATGGGATAGGACTTGGCTGGACACAGTAGTAATTCCAGAGTCGGTGCTGAGTAGATTAATGTTGGTCTAAAACTTATCCATGCACGTAGATGCTTCTTTTGGTTTCGAGTACAAGTCGCGTGCAGATTATTCTATCCATAGGGAACCGAATTTTTCCATAAAAGGCCTTTTTCAATCTTTTTGAGTTGAAGTACATAGTCAATGACTTCTATCTTACAGGGAAAGCTCCGACTCTAAATTTGGAAATGGAGGAAACACGCGTTTATGGAATTGACAAGAGAGGCCTTCAACTTCACATGAATATATCCCTTACGGTAATCAGTTTCAGTACGGTAATTTCATTGGTATTGTATTGATATGAACCGCAAATGGGGGGGGGGGGGGGGAGGACAGGAATGGCATGAAGTTTGAATGACAAAATCGCCCTTCAATCTCATGGAAGCATGGCGGTTACTTCATCAAACAGAAAGAAAGCTTAGGTATGGATCAAACGCAGCAATCATATTCATAGGAATATCAAGTGCATGGTTTATTCGTCGTCCATTTGATTAAGACCGATCCCCTGATCCGTAAATCTTATCAACTCATTTCACTCCCTCAATGGAGCCAATGGTTACGCCATGAAGTCATTTGTCAACTATTCATGAATTAGATGATTGATGGCTATGTTGCGCATAGAAAATACTTGTGGACGAAGACCGATGAAAACAAATAGTGTTTTGAGATGGGTAAACAAGCTACTATGATATAATGACATGCAGTAAAGCTAGCAATTTAAAGGAGAATTGTAGGAAGTGAAGTGGGGCTAAATGGTCGATTCGACCTTTAACGTTTGCCAGGCTAATTGGTCCGCATTTTCTTAATGTATTCTAAGATGAAGGTGTATCACCACTTCGATGTAAGGCTTAATATCACGCATGCTTGGCCCGGGATCGAATTCCGGATCAATACTCGCCCAGAGCAACCAGCTATTCCGTCGCTTCGCTTACTAGACTCGTTTGAGAGGATGAAAGCTTTGATTCGCACATTGGCTAGCAACTGCGAACCACTGTACACACCACATGCGCATTCGGAGCATCTCTATGATTTTGAATGGAAGTCGAATGCGGGGCGTATCCCAAAAAACTTGATTGGATAATGTTAAAAGATTAATTTTCCCAATCAGAGTAACGGTAGTCGTCTTATAAAAGTCTAAGAACAAAGAATACAGACTTCTGGTGTCAATCGTTGTATGTGCCTTATACAAGGAACTGCGGTGGCCAACCGATGTACGAGCCAGTACTTTGGCCCTCCTAAACGAATCTGGACCTATTGACCGATCCTGAAAGGACTGAAGGCTTCGGCTGGCTCGGGCAAGCGCCCAAGCGCCCAGTCATCCGGGATTGGAACCAGTGACTATGCGTACATAAGAGATAGTGCGCTTCTTGCCGCTACACCACCTCCACCTCTAGCAGAACCTTCAAATATGGGAAGTAATTTTAAAATTTTTTCTAATTAACTGAATTTCAGCTCATTCCTCGCTCTTCAAATGGCGTGATTTTGTTTGCTCGAGGCGATCACAGCGCTTTCACACTGCGAATGGAAATGCGGCGTTTAGTGGCCGAGTAAGTTTCCCTTTACTTCTTTACCGCAACAATAGCATTTTAGTAGAAATCTTCATAATTTATTTATTCTTGTTTGTCATTTATTGTGGGCGTATATTCAAAATGAAAAAAAAAAAGATTAGAAATCCTTCGACAGAGAGCCTTTTTCAGAGAAGGAACCAAAATATGGTAGGTTTTATGCAGCCAAATTACAACATTCGGATAAAATTATAGTTACAGTATTACTAAATCCCTAAGGATATCTTTGCATAGGGACGGGGTGTCTGTGTACACGGGTAACCATTCAATTTTTCAATTTCCAGTTTTCAATTTTGCTAAATGGAAATTGCTAAAAATATTCTCAACGACGATTTTTTCTGATAGTTTTTTTTAGAAAATATTAAGTCATGAGACACTGATGATTGCTGATGGTTTTTGAAAAAAACGTTTTTTTGCAGATAATTTGATCAAAATTACGGTAACAATTCTATCGAATAGTTCTTTGTGGAAAGTTCCATATAGAATTGAAATTAAGGAAACTTTCTACTAGTTACCGAGTTCTCGAGGCTCAAAAGTGTCACCCATCCAGGTTTCAACGAGCGTTTATACTTGAGAAGTTCCTTTTTGAGTGATGGCCCTTGAGTGATGAGCAGAGCACTTAAGGCAAGACTTCGAGCCACTAAAGTGTACTTTTCGACAGGTAAACCCTCCCTGAGATCCCTGAAATCCACCCCCAAATGCTCTCCTCACCGGTCAGTACGAATTCTGTGCCTAACTACCCGAAACACAGTAAATGCTTGAAAACTACAGAAATCTATTATCCTAGTAGAAAAACCAGAACAAGTATGAGGGTTACACAGAAGAATGTGGCAAATGCGACTAGGGCCACCATAAAAATTGAGACGTGATGTCCGAAAGACTCGGCTTCTTCTTCATCCATACAGCATGGCAGCCATGAACAGCTCAGTCGACGTCCGTACTCCTGAAATTTGCCGATTATCACAATTCCGCTCTGGAAATCTTATTGAAATTCCTTCTGCTATAGCTATTCCAAAAATACCCTCCACCATTCGGTACATGTGTAATCCCTGGATGGACAAACTTCTGCGAATAACCCCACTCTGACTGAAGGAACTCGCAATGAGCTTACTTGCTTTGCTGTCTTAGGTTTAGTTTTTGTGTTGTGGAACAGTGAGAATGGACCCCTACTTCGAGGGGCTTCAATACACCTTCAATTACTCATTCCCAATGAGGGGCCCAGGCCATCCCCTGCCAGCTTGGGTAAGCTTCTTTCTCATAATTAATCAAATGGAAGTATCACATGACAGCTAGAATAAGTAACAAACCTCTGTCGTGTCGGAATAGTCATCGTAGAGTACCTCTTTTTGAGATCCTCTTACGGACAGAGAGTTATTCCTAAACAAAAGGTTTTACATTCAAGGAAAGTTGGATTGTAAATGATATTATGTGATAACGAATGATTTTTCGTTGTAACTAGGCGTTGCCATCACCTGTAGCTTGCTCTAAAAGGGTTTTATAGGTTTTGAGTGCTTGTTCAACAACAGCGGAAGTCGGTGGATGGATCTTGGACGGGGCTGCTCCCAAAAAATGAAAAGTCATTCTAAAATTGAAAAGGCTTGAATATAGTTCAAGCGCTTTGGATTTGGTACTTAATTATAATTATTGATGAACAGACGTAGTGGGAGTGGGAATACTTTCAATCTGAGCTCATCAAGAGGGTGAAAGCTAGGTAAACATAAGTTCCCCCAATGCCCTCTGATGCCGTTGATCTGTTCGGCCCCATCAGGTTGCTATTATATACCCCTCTATGGCGCCACGTGAAAGGAAGTTGATGAATTTCGTCCAGTCACGGGATGGAACCACGGAATAACATAGTAATAATGAGTTAATGAGAATTGAAGGAATACTAGTTTACGAGTGCAGTTGACTGAGGGCCGTATATCTGGCATTTCCTATTGGTTCATTATGAATCAAGCCTTGATGATACGCAACCCATATATAGTCGGTATATCTGTATAATGGAGCGTAGGAATGGCCTTCGGAAACCTTCACAATTCCGAGTGAAAGGCAAAGAATGGCGCATAAAACAAGTTGTCATCGAATCTTTCAACCACTTTTTAACCAACAACTTCCTTCGAAAGGGTAAGCGGATCGCCTTAGCAAACCATCTACACTAACGTATGCTTCTGTTTGTTCTTCATCCTCTTCGGTTTTATGAATCTGCTCCAATTTTTCAAATGGTCGTCCTAAATACTCATTTCTTTTTCAATATCTTTCAATCGCTTACGCTTTTTAGAATAGGATTCTTCAGCAATCCTAGTTCATGAATTTCTAAAACTTTTTCCCAGTGGGGTCATCCATGCTGAACCCCCATCCTCCTTACGTCGTTAAGCTGTCAAGAAAGCTTTCAGTTTCCTGATACGAAAAAAACTAAGAAGTATTTTAAAATCGAATTTCACCTCGCAATGATGTCATACCGGTTTTTCTACTGAAACAAAAACAGACGCAGGCTAGTTTGGCAGGATTGGGGAATATACAGGTACACCGTACCTCCCACTTGCTCAGTTGCACACGAGTTGGGACCAAGGATATCCGCGTCCCGCTGAAATGCATTAGGTCTCATGGTGGAATAACACATTCGGGAAGTGCCGTCAAAACCGGCGGGTTAATATCATGATTCTTCAGACAGAATGACTAATTAGGAACGTATTTTTTCTTTGGCTATCATTCGGGTAAGACCCACACTCTGAAGTACAACATAAAGCCCTTCTAATCCTTCCGTCTGCCTAATTGCCGTGGAGCGGGTTGATATCAGAACCATTTTTTTTCTCTAACTATCGTTTATTTGAGGCCGACATTCTGAAGTTCAACAAGTAGCCCTTCTGATTCTTTTCGACTAATACGCTAGATGGCTCTTTGAAAACTCATTCGATGATTCGGGAAAATTTCCGAGAAAATCCCTGGGGTAGTTGAGCCCGACTCAGAATCGATTCAAGGATACAAAATGAATAGATCCCTATCATCAAAGACCACAACCAATCGATTTGTATGCCTCCTTGAGTACTGGTAATTTATGCGTAGATGTTCGTTAGGCAGAATGGGAAGGGAAATTGGTCGACGTAAAAAGCTCACCTCATTTGGCGACGTTGATTTCGATCGGAGTAGAAGAAAGCCAAATACTGAGACTGAGTTGATCGATGGGCAATGATAAGCTGATAAGGCGGCCATTCAAAGTTGCAGGACGTCACGAACATACTCGTTGAAGGCAGTTCTTTCTCTTTTGTTGAGGGGGTTGCCTACTGAAGACAACGATGTTCGTCGCCATATCGCGATATACAGCCGTGGAGTCGTACCTACATTTCTTTCATTTCATTTCATTACAGAGTGCCAAATAAAAATGACACAGAAAAAGGAAATCAAAAAAAAAAANGAGTCGTACCTACATTTCTTTCATTTCATTTCATCACAGAGTGCTAAATAAAATGACACAAAAAAAGGAAATAAAAAAACAGGGGGTCTCGTCCTCTCTTTGTGAACGGCAGGTGTATCTTTCTATAAAAAAATGTCCATTGTTGATTTTAGGCTCTCTCCCCCTCAGTACCCTCAGTTTTCGTCGAATTTACTGCGAAAATTAAGGGGAATCATCTGCCTACAGCGGCGGGAATCCTGACATGCTCGTCGCACGCGACGATTTTTAGCTAGTTGTCGCCCCTGCTCTCCAGTCGAATCTTCAATGAAGCCAGCACCAGGATCTTTTCTAACAGGAGCCCTAGCCTTTTACTTATTTTACTCATACTCATACTTGTACTCATAAGCAAAGGAGAAGGAATCTGGCGTTATAGTATAGTACAATAATTGAAACTCGTATGAACTTCTTCAATCTCGTTCAACAACTGGCTTGGGACAGGCTATAGTACGATTGGATAATCTTCGCTAGCCCCTGTCCTCCTCTCTATCTGCTCTGTAGCACTAGCGGGTTTTCTAAAATTCACGGCGAGGTAATTGTAACGATTAATTTGCTCTTAGTCAATTTTCTTCTTTTTCAAAGTGGCCCATTTAAATGCGCTTACCGTAGTGGTCGTTCTTCACGGGGCCACGTGAATTATCTGAACTGGTAGCAAATGGGAGGTGCTGAAAGGCTCATTTGCTCCGAAACTCATACAAATTTCCATTTCGGGGAAAAAACTTTAAAGTAGCTCATTGAAAAGCATCGTGAAAGTGCCTAACAGTTTCAAAAACCACCTTAAAAGTGTTGGTTGATTGCATCTTGAGGTGAAATTGGTTTTCTTGTCCAG